CAGATGACAGTTTTCCACGATTCTTCACTCAAACTGTTTTTAACACCAATTATCCAGCTTAATCTCAACCATCAGCACGATAACAGAGCGGTATCGAAGGAGTTCCAGCCAAACGGGAATACCGTCGCGCACCGGTGTGTTTGCAACACCCAACGTCGTTCTCCGTAGATGATACCCAGCAGGACAGTTTTTAATCACCGTAAGTGGATCTACATAGAGCTCGCAATTACCAGGGCACACTCCGGCCATGGGCCCCTTGTGTATCAGCCACCCTCGGCCTACCAGAGTCGAGCCAGCTCGAATGTTTTCCCCATTTCATCCCTCGGTGCCAGCAAGCCACCCCCTTCTCTTCTCTCCTTGCCTTCCCAACGAGGATCCTTCCGTTCGAAGCGTTATTGCCTATTCCGTCGTTGCTTTTTGATCTTTCCTACGTCTTCCCATTCATTTATCTTTTATTCTTGTAGATCGGACATATTTTTCAGTTTCTTCCAGATTCTCTTTTTGTAGATAGCTTGGCTCTGTTTTCTCTGTTGACAAAAGACATTTGTAATGAATCTTCAACCCAGATTACTTTCTCATTTTTCTTTTGAGGGTGAGATTTTCTTAAATAATATTTTCTAGTATGACGTATGATTAATAGTTATTTATAGTAAGCTAAAAGATAACAGTATTTACTGCTGTCAGGAAGAAGTATCTCTATTTTTCTTCTATGTCTCCGTTTTAATGGAACAGGTCTTTGTGTTTCTTTCCTGCTTCGACCTTTTCCAGTATGTTTTTCTTGATCTTTTTTTTGAGTACACTGTCTTTTCTCACCGTTGAACACCCTTCATCAGAGGCTGCGCCCCGATCACCCTCCTAGAATCAACCCCCTGCACCCCGTGACGGTGCTCGATCGTGTCCCACCGGGAAAAAGAAATTCATGTTGATTTTCCGGGACGCTCCTAAGACTGTCTGCCTCTAAATTACACGATTCTGGTTATTCCCTTTGTGTCTCTTTATTATATCTCTATGGGACTTTCTGGTTCTTCCGAAAAATTGTTATTTTATAAAAATAGGATTAAAGTTGCAATTTATATGCTAATACATAATCATTATATTATGTCAAAGTTAACAAAGAAGAAATTTCAGTGCTTGGACATTTATCCAATATTTTATATCTTACAATATCTAAATTTTCTTTTTTAAATTTTCTTACCTCTTTTAAAAAAGAGGTTGGAAAGTATCCATAGCAAAAGATCCAATGTTATAGTCTATGATGACTTTTCCTAGACTAGCTTCTGCCACGTTTCATTGAATGCGTGTAAGTCTGAAAGTAATCAAAAATAATTCCACCATAGAATTAATCGTACTAGCCAGATCGTTCCACTTCTTTCAATTGAATCCGCACCCTTACGAGCTCGTAAGAGCAACGATTGTTGGTCCAGCAGCGTAACACCAACTTGTTCACCCTCTGCCCGCTTCTGTTCTATGCTACATCCCATTGATGACACCATGGACAGGGGTGCCGGTGTGTCGCGTGGCGACACGTTTCACTGTTCTGAGTCACATGTCATTCCGTATGAATTACAACTCCATTAACGTTCCAGGCAACCTGCGAGCATACATAATGCCAGCGAATTGAACGGATCAGCTTCTCAGCCAAGATGTTGATTTATGGGGAACGACGGAGATGCCTGATCCTTGGGTGAAGGGAGGTTGTACGCCAAAGTGATTGGATTTTTAATCTATATCTTGGAAATCTGTCTTATCCTCTATTTTATCAAATGTATATTCTTCTTCAAAAATTTAAGTTCTTCATCTTTCTCTTCTGTTTAGTCCATTTTATTTGTATGGTCTTAATGGGGTCCATTGTTTGTCTTGATCCAGTTTAAGTGAATCTTCTCTCCACAGAAGAAAATATGTTCCATTCTTTATAAAAATTAAAATTCTTCTTTCCTTCTCCTTATTTTAGGTTGAACTAAATTTATAAACTTATTATTTCATTGATTAGTTGAATGATAAAGATTGCAAAAGGCAATGAAGACTTAAAAGATAGTTAAATCATATCTGTGATTGCATATGCGTGTGTGTTTATGGAAGAAAAATTTTCCAATAGGAAAAGTAAAAAAGGATCTATTAAGATATTTAGTAAAGTTGAAAGCATCTCAAGGGTGGACCTTAGGATACGAATTAGGGAAGACCCGTACTGACTACCCTTCGTCAGGGAAAACCTCTTTGGAAATGGCGGTCGGCCCATGATGCCGCAAACTACTAGAAAATTGATAGTAACTTCGTGTTTAATTATCATGCGTGCATATATATCCACATTTATGGCCTTCAGGTGAGCTAAGCAGAATATCCAGTCAGATGTATCAGAATTTTACATTTTCCTGCATCTTTAAGTCACTGTAATTACTTTTTGAAAACTGAAAAATGAAATTTCTGCAATTAGAAATTCTGCTTTTGTAGAAAATAGATTAAGGTTTTCAATACCTCTAGTTAATAACAGAGTAATTAATTAATTTTTGGCTATTACTATCGTTGCAGCACTAACATTCTGAAATCAATCAAATTAAATAACAATTAGATTAAATAATATCGTGTTCCAAAGACAATTAGACCTGTTTATTCTGGCCATATTTTTCACCATTTCCATCGACAAGATTACATTTTCCCCGGTAACGCAATTTCAGAGCGTTTTCAGAATATGTTACATGGGTGATTAGTGTTACTAGCAATAATGTTTCCCGGTAACTAGATTTACTGGTCGGCAATAAGTGTCGAAAGTGAACAGCCTGTTTCGTAATTAGGGAAATACAGATTTTACGACATTAAACGTGTTCTCGTTGGTAGACTGCAATTTTCATTCTCAGAATATTATACTCGTCCATCTGCGCATCTATGTGCAGGATATTTCAATATTACATGCCAATAAACAGAAAATCGTAGAAGATAATGAGAACAATATTGTCATTTAATGAATGTGATTATATTTTACTTAATATTAATTATTATTTTATTTCATTATTTTACTTGAATAACAGAATTAAAAACATTAGCAATCCATCATATACCCATCGTTTCCATTAAGTTATTGCAATATTTAGAATTAGGAACATGTTCTAAACAGTGAATATTTTGTTTACACGTGTGAACAATTTCTTGCTTAAAATTTGTTGGAAACGGTTAATATATGAATGGTTATTTGCCAGGAAACGTTCAAGATCTAAACGTGTGAAATACTGTTAGTAAACAATGAAATAAAATTGATTTACAACGTGTACGTGTGTCTCTTTCATAATCTATAAAAATCTTCTGTTTAATTGATCACCAATTATGAAACATTCTGTACAATTACTTTTGAATAGTTTCCCGTTATCGTTTGCTTTATGAAAGATAAAATATTTTTCAGATATTTTATAATTTCACGTAGGTACTTAAAAGCTAACAAGTGGCTTACCTCTTAGAGAGGCAACTACTCCAATGTTCAATTTATATCACTTAATAAAGTCTAGCAGAATTTCATTCACATTGTCGACGTGATCGTCATACGAGTAATCCTCGTCACACGAACAGTCTAATAAATTTAATCTGATACGAGAGTTCGGCGTACCATAGCGCCGGGCGACTACCATTTTCCCGCAGCACTAACGTCCGTGATTGGCAAGCATGATTATTATTATACGAGAATCGGAATTAAGAAAGACGTTGGTTCCTGACACAATCCTCGTCTATCGAAGTGGACTATTTTTGGATCCAGACCAGACACCTGCCAAATGTGCATCGTCGAAGGGATCGTTGCATTCATAATGCATGAAGTTCAAACGAAAAATAGGAAGCAAGAAGATAGACGGCAGTCATTCACCTTGGACTCATATATCTCATGGATTAGTACTTCGTTCCCAAGTAGATCATTTTTTAAAAGAAATTCTTCAACTTAAAAGTAACGAGGGAGAGGCAGATTGGTCTCACAGTCAACAACTATAACAAAGTCCTGCAACAGGCAAGAAAATAAAAAATAGAAAATAAACGTATATTTACGAGGTTTTGAGTGAAGTTGAATGGTATCTAGAAAGATCGAAGTAATCGATGATAAAAATGAACGTAATAAGAAATACAGAGAGGAAGTAGAGTAATCGAGAATGGATGGAGCAAAGCAGAAATCCTTGATATCGTTCCCTATAAAATAGAGGAAAGTATCGATCACTAGATGTGAAGAACGGAAAAGCAAAGATCAAGTCGAGCACCATGAAAATCTGTGATAGGAGAGACAAAACGGATACTAGAACAGGATGAAGTATGGATATCGACGCGTCAGAGACCGAAAGAGAATTGGTTATCCGTAAAAGCTCGTGAGAGTAAGCTGCCGAAAATGCAAAACACGTTGATTGGATCATAAATTTTGCGCGTTCGATTCTGCACCATGGTAAGATATGGGGATCTCCCGGCTGAATCTCCAGTGTACAAGAAGTTCAAGTTAATCCGTCACAGGCATTAGACGGTATAATCCATCAAGCAGCGACTTGCAGGTAACCGTGAAAACGAAAATGGGGCTTGTAATGCAATTACATGGCGCCCGTGTTCCGCCATCACCCTTGTCCCTCCGTTTCCGGCCCTCCATTTTAGGTGACGCCAGAGGGAGTACCCTGAAGTAAAAGTGGACGAAAGAACAGCCTATTGCCGGTATTATTTCTTGCTTGGTCTTCTCTGATTGGAATCTTTGTAATCAGCGTGAAATACTTTTTTAACGAAGATCCTTAAACTTGTTACATTTCTGGAATTACACGTTTTGTAAGGGTAGTAACATTGCGAGGGTATTACACGTTTAATTTGTTAACTTTTGCTAGAATGAAACGACAATTTTATTGCTATATTAAATTACGATTGTCGCAAAACTCATGCAGTCGTAAGATCGATGCATTGTAGGAGTAGAACAATGATAATTTGTAGAACAATGATAATTAGTGTATTTTGAATGACTTTTTAATATCTAATCGTGCATAAGGTGAGGAAGTACTTACTTGAACTCTAGCTTCCGTCAGGTCGATCTTCATGGCGATTTCTTCTCTAGTATAGATATCCGGATAGTGTGTCTCTTGGAAGGCACGCTCCAATTCTTTAAGCTGAGCCGATGTGAAAGTTGTTCGTATCCGACGTTGTTTCCTCTTCTCCGCTAACCCATCGTGTCCTGAGTAAGCCTTATATCCTAGTCCACCTGAAAATTCAAAATAGAAAAAATCGAAAATTTGTATAACATTAAATTAGCAGAAACGATTTGGATTTTACTAAAATAGCTCTATATCACTGTCATTCGTGTAAACTCAAAGTTATAAAATTTGGATTGCCTTCAATATTTCTCTATTACAATTGTAAACGTTATACCAATGTTTAACTGTATCCTAATTTTCATCTGGATTTTTCTGAAGTTAGATATAAATATAATTTCATAGACAGCTAAGTTTTTAATTCATACAAACTACCAAGAACAAAAATAAGGTTGATCAAATGCTATAGGGTTACTTAAGATAAGTTTGATTCAACATGAAACTTTTAACTAGTATATCAACTACCTCCTAAATCAATTTATCCAAACTTTCATTCAATCAGTAGCCAAAGACTGACCATTCCGACTGAACGACTTCTAAGTATGACTGATAAAGCACGAGGAAAATCAGTATGGTCGAATTACTTTGTCTAAGAAGAAACGCTTCTGATGATTTCGTGCCTGCGAGGAGAATACAGCTTATAGATTATAGAATATAGGTGAGGATGGCTGGGATAGCGAGCAACGTAACCATAGCAATGAGTGAGTAAAGGGGGAAAGGGCGAGAAAGAGTGAGTCGGGGATAAAGGAAACATGGGATGAGACAGAGCAGAGTTGGGTACAAGAGGAACGAACCGGTAAATGAGGGAGAGACGAAGAAAGAGTGAGAAAGAGAGGCAAGAATACGAAAGAGGAAGAGAGGAAAAGGGAGGACGAGACACATCCATTGATTTTCAGTGCCATCTTGTCGTCGTTTCCAGAGGATATATCGTGCTGGTAGGTTCGTGCATGGAGACGAGCCATCGTGGCAACTTTCCCTTGAGGAAAGAAGGACCACCCTCCTTTTTTCCCGGAAAAGACAGTCCTCTTCGCCCCGCCTGCACAGGCTACCTTCTTCCCTATCTAATTGATCGTCTCTTCGCGAATTCTGCCATTTTAACGATATACGACGTTTGATTTATTCATTCACTGTCAAGGGATGAGAGTTCATTGAATCGACCAAGGGATTCGATTTCGTTCAGTGCATAGAAATCGTTTGGCATCGAGTTTACGGATTTTTCCTTCTCCCGTGGCCTGATCTTATGTATAAACGTGATATCGTTGAATGTAAATACCGAGGGGACCGAATAATTACTTCTCAATTAACGGATATGGAATAAATAAGAGAAAATCAGTAAAATAACGAATAGATTTTGATGACTTTAAATAGTTATTACACATACGAGGACGGTGACGACAGATTTAAATTTCTGAACAGGAGAGGCGTTAATTTCTCACATTTTCAGCAAGGAGATCAAATAATGATTTATGAAGCATAGCAAACCCAGAATGATCCATCATATAACATTTTATGAAGCTTTGTCACGACATTTTTCAACCTTAATAGAAATTGCACTAGCTTCCAAACTATGAAACATAAATTTAGTTAATTTTGCTTTTTGGTAAACGAAATAAATAAGATAGGTCTATTCATTTGAAAACACAGAAAAGAAAGACCAATGGGACCAAAGATTCTAACGAATAAATATCCTAAACCCTATCAAAATGGAGGCAAAATACATAAATTTCAAAATACAAAAGAAAAGAAATATACAACAAATTCCATGTATAGGAGGAGATACAAAAATCTCAAATAATAGGCAAGATAATTAAACTAGGGTGCTAAGTTAAGAAGCAAAACGAGAAACTAAATTTTTCACTGAAGAGAAACCTCCATCTACTTATCATTATCTATATCTTTCTCCCCAAAATAACTAAATGCACTCACTCTGCAGATTAATGGCCGAAGGGAAGATCGAGGCAGCGTGTCGGTGGACCTCTTGAGATCTGGCGGCCATTACCGAGCAGGGGGTTGCATGGGCCCCGTGGTGCGCGTGGGCATGAGAGTGGGTGGTGTGATGGGCCCCCAGCGGCGTGGTGCTTCCAGTACTAGTGGTTCCCGCGTTTCCCGGATAACCAGCAGCCCTCGCAGCTGTATACCGATAAGCGGCCTGGCTCATTTGCGAGCATGAACTCAAGTCCCCGTATCCACATTGCATTTCACTGGCAGCCAGAGCACAGCTAGAAGCCTCGAAACCAGCGGCTGCGGCCGCAGCCGCTTGATTCAAGTAGGAATAATCCATGGTTTGTACGAAGCACCGAAAGCAGAGGTCAACAAGGGTAGAGTTTCTTCGTCACAGGCGTCAGAAGTAGATTGACAACGGCACTGACCGCGGTTCACCCGAACAGTTCATCGAAACTTCTTATCTCTTCCCCATCTTGACCATTCACTGGGCAAAACGCGATAAACTGAATTCCTCTGGCTGATGGTCGACGAAGGTGACTCCTGGTACATCCACGTTGTTAAAGGAAATCAGTTGGCTCTTCCATTCACTGGAACATGTCGATTCGAAGAACCTGAGCGTAGATTCAATTAAAACGAGATCAGAGTGTCGCAAAAGAAGGAGCTGAGGGCCCGGGCCGGGCCCTAGCCGCGGCGTTCCTTCCGGCCCCAGCAGTGGTGTGTTTCTTCCGTGGAAATCTCAGCTAATCGTAAGCCAGGGTGTACAAGCAGCGGTGGCAGCGTCACGTAATTCTCTCTGGTCGCGGACAAGAGCTAAGGGACGCGGGCGGCAGCCAGTTGCTCGATAGCGGCTTATGACGCGTAATCGGATCAGCGATATCAAATTATTGCGATTATAGCCGCGGATAGAAAGAAGTTTTTCGGCCCGCTTAAGAGAGCCCGAGACGACCGACTGGTGGGTCTCCTCAAAATCAAATGATAAGCTTAATTCAATAACCGACGGAGAGGGTGCACGCCGGGGGTGTGGCCGTCGGTCGGTTACCGAGAAACGGGTTTGGTCACTGTCTGCCGTTCTCTAAGCGCTGATTCGTCGATCCCTGGTGCCACCCCCGGGCTGGATGAGAGTACAGTCGCCGCCCTCGAAGCTTCTGTGTTCATCCCCGTCTGTGTGCCACCCCCGGTTCGTCGGGCGACCTCTCCCTAACAGCCATCAGCCCGAATGAACGCTATCATTCGATGATGCCAGCCCTCTCTCCTGGTCTCGATTTTACGATCGATTCCGGAGCAGGCCGTTTCCGCTGGACACCAGAGCCACGCTTCTCCAGCCACCCTCCGTATGTTTACGCCAGGCTCCTTTTGCGGCTGTCTTGGTACAATGAGTGCTTGACTTCCTGGATGGTACTGCTGATGCTGGGCGTCGTTAGTCTTTGGATAAATTCAGGATGATGGATTACTTGATGCGAGGGTGAGTGGGTTAAGCTTGAGACGCTGGTGTTCCTTAACTGAAACTAGATTTTTGTGGATTGTAATAAAACAGGAACTATTAAGAAAGGTTTTTCGTTTCCTATCTTGTAGATCTATTACTCGAGGTTTGTAAAGTAAGCTGTAAATGAAATATAGATGTAACTTTATGTAACTTTAAACTATTTGAAAAGATATATGTATAATAAATGAGAACCATAGATTTCGTTTTTGACGTCAGATGTTTATTATTAAAGATTCCTGAAATTAGCTGTAAATAAAATTCAAGTGGAATAATAAAGACACAAATGTCCATATATATGGACTTACAACACACGGATTTCACGTTTTTAGTACTGTAAATTTATTAAATTTAGTACTATAAATCATTATAAATTACTGAAATAACTTGTAAACAAAATTAAAGTCAAATAACGGATACTCTGAAAATATCAGAATTAAAACCACAAATTTGGCGTTTCTAATTTTGCAAATTTGTTATTAAAAATTTCTGAAATAAAATTTACCTCAGTTATCATTTTAAATATATAGCACAAGTAATCCCCTATTATGGTTTATAATTATAGTATTATCACTCCTTGCAAATTGATTGTCGAATGACAATAAGTATTGTATTTCATAAGTTCCTGAAAAGATTTCCTGTAAAATTAATATAATGCTATACTCATTAATTATTTACATAAAACCGTAGAAACATCAAGTACTACGTAAATAAAGGCCAAGGGAGTATAGAGTATGAAATATGATTTATCTGCAGATAGAGAAATTACATGACTAAACATGACACGGGGCCGACCTTAGATAGGTGGTAGGACCCTGTGCGACACTTGTTTCGCACTTGTTCTCACGAAAGGGCCACGATGAGAGCAGGAGTCTGGTGCTCGACCCTCTTCCCCGTGTCTCGTCCCTGGAGAATTCTCTTCCAGGGTACGCGAACGTAGTGTGCCGCGCAATACCAAATCGGCCATAGTGTGTATACTAAGAACACATAGGAACGGACTCACCCACTGGCGTAGACTTCTCCATAACTTCTCCATGTTGCAGCAATGTAACTTGAAGCGGTGCACGTATGTACCTGGAATATTACGATTAAAATTACTATTCTTTTCAAAAGTTTCTATAAAAATATTTAAAAGTAAAATGAAGCAGTAATTAGAATTTTTTGTTGCTACGCCAATGACTACAAACATGCATCATATGTTTAGTGAATTATTCAAATTCAATTTTCTCATTCGTTTTATAATATTTGTTAATTAAATTAAATATAAATTTAATTAGGAATTGTTTTGTTTTTATGATTAAAAAGTTATGCAAGTAAAAATAATAAACTGATCGGTCTATTGAAAATCTGTCATTGAATGTAGTGCCTACGTCAATGGAAGTACAGCAAACATGCGTGCGCGTGTAAACACTCGCACACTCGCATAAACGACGTTTCGTCTTTTATATGAATACAGAGAGAGAACGTCAACCCCCCTTAGCGGTCTGATACATATGTCCTTGATTTGTCCGGAGAATAATATTCTCCTGGAAAGTTGATTAAATATTGGTTAGTGATCTCGAATGCCCTTCACCCCCGTTGCTCTTCCATCCCATCGACTCGAAGACCCATAGGAATACAATTTAATATTTCCATGTCCCAGGGAAGTCGACTATTTTTCTTCCGATTTACACACGGCTCTGTCACTATTGTCTCCCATTTTTGCGAAAGAAATCATTTTACACTAGCTGATTACAAAAAATGTTTCACAAGAAACAACACAATGCATTCGTATACACAATTACTATGTTCAAATGCAACTGTCATGAAACGAGCCAGTATTTTCGGTATAATGAAACATAAAATATATTAATGTTGTAATTTACGTTAGCTTACTGTAAAATGTCACTGCAACCTGATTAAAATGGTTTGCAATTATACGTTTACCACCCACTTTTATACTGTGTTATTACGAGCTAATCCTGTTTATCGCGTATTACATGTTCAGTTATTTTTTCTACCGTAATGTAAATCTTATGTATGTGTCGAAAGTAGTGGTAGAGAAATAAAAATATATGTAAATTGATATCCAGATAACGCTAAATTTATATCAAATACATTAAATAGAGTATTTAATAGAATTTACCAATTTCATTTGATGAAATAGCATTTTTCTATCTTCTTTTCTCAATAATCAGAATAAAAATGGGAATAAACTTTTTTACACTACACCAAACACTTTCACAACTAATGGCGGAAATGCGCACTTGTCGCCAACGCCCTTTTTTAATAAATTGCCAACAGGTGGCATGTCGAATTATAAAATTAGAAATTACGTATAATAATCTAATTATATTTTATTTAATGAAATAAAGTATTCTAAAGTATCTTATGTATTAATACGCAATTTATGAAATACAATTTATTATTAATATTAGATGTAAATTAGATTTTACTTATTCTATAATTAGTACAATGTAGAAGCTAGCGCCACCATATCCGTCAACGGTTTTTTATTGGCGCGAATCCGTATGTGAAAATGTGCAAGAAAAAGGAATAGACAAGAATAAAAAGTAACAGTGAAAAGTAATTTTATTCTAAATATATTGTGAGAATGATACTAATTATTCCTGAAATTGTTAAAGTATGACTGTATCTAATCTGTAAAATAAATTTCAATATTTTTTGTTAATGAGATGTTTTTCAAGAGGAAAGTTCATTGGTTCAATGTTCCATAAAATATTCCAATATGATAGAAACATTAAATAATACAGAAACATCAGTAATTTCTAATATTTCAAAAGTTAAATTTAAACGAACAATACGTAATACAGAGTGTTTAATATTTACAAGAATGAAATCAAAAAGTAGTTAAACATTCAATTTTAATATTTGAAATTATACAAAGTAAACGTTGGTATCAAATACTTGAATAATATGCAATTATAACAGAAAATTGACATTAAATTCAGTTTGTACGTAACATACAAAGATTGCAGAACTACTTTTTTATATATTTTATAACAAACACAGTTTTATCAAAACAAAATGTGCTTTAAATAAATTTCCAAAGATAGCTCCTTGCTTATTTATGTAAATCTTGCATTTCTATAAATATATTTAATATATCTGAAAGAAAAAGAAAATATTTAATTAATAATAGTGATTATTAAATTTTTTTTATTAGTTACTTTAAAAATTTCTTTTTAATACTTATTCTCAGTACAATATTCATGAATATCAGATAATATTCATGCAGAAAAATATACTAAATAATTGTACGTACCCCACTGAGATATAATAGAAGAAATGTATCTGAAATACATTTCAAGGAATATAGCAATTTTATTTCTGATAATATATTGCTTGAGTACCTATATAAGCATCTTGTTCTAAAATAAAACATAATTAAAATTAGTAACACAAATTAATTATTTTATTAAGAAATAAATATTTTTGCCGCAAAATTAATTTAAAATATTAAATGTTACCATTATTCGGTCGATAATGAAGTTCCTCCCAATTTACTACACCGTGCCTTGACTTTTTAGTATTATCCATTTTCAAGTTAGTAACAATTGTATCACAATCATTTTCCTTTATTTCTATCACATTGTGTTTCGGAATGTGAATTTCACATGTATTTGGAGAATCTTTGACGCATTGGACTTCCGGTCGATACAAAACTACCTTTCTAGGGCGAGAACATTCTTCAAAAGCAATATTCGAACGAGGTAAATCTTCTTGTTTAACATATACAATTTCATTCTGTTCACATGTTGGTACGAAAATAATTTTCTGCGTAGATTCTTGAGGATACGATACTACACGATAATTAGCATTTGGATTAATTATCTCTACGTTATCGACAGATGCAACGTGTTTATTCTCTTGCATATATATAGGAATTTTCTGAGTTTTGGAATTGTTTTCGTATGCCAAGTACTTAATTGGCTGTTTTTCTAGAATCACTGTATTTTCGATACATTGATTGTCAGTATATTTTATTTGCGATTCTCGACCTTCCATAGGCAAGATCTTCATATTCTGAACGCCTTTTAAAATACCAATATCAGCTATATCTTCTTGACGAGGACGTCTGTTTTGTAACATTCTTGATTTCTCAATTTGAGATATATTATTGTAATGGCATTCTTGCATGTTATTAAAATCTTTACATTGATCGACCATCACATAACAAACATGTGGATCACTATGGCAGTTCTGATTATTTCTACATTTAGACTGTTGTTGAACTTTTCTTACTAATACTTTCTCGCAAACAATTGGCTTCTGGTGCATTTGTATATTTTGTATTTGCGATGCACTTGTTTTTTTAAATTCTTGACCACCATCATTAGAATCCTTACAATTCTGAGAACATTGAAATGTTCTATGAGAATTCACGGGTACTCTCTGACAATTTTTATGTACAGCACACGTATTTTTCTTTGATTTTTCACCTTGCGAAGGAACGTTCTTACGTATAATACAAACATTCGAATTATCCGCTGTTCCATCAGAAATTAAATTATTCAAATATAAACAATGTCCTATGTTCCGCGAATCTTTTTTCGTGAACATCACAGTTTTCTGTACTGGCGGATTTTTCTTGTTCACAAAAATATCATTTACGTGGAGATTTTGTGGTTGCTGTTTGGATTCCACTGGTTGGGAGTAAGAACTTTTCGTAAAATATACTTCATCGTCACATACATTCGGTGATTCCATTACACTGGTTTGAACATTCAAATCTTTCATTTCCCCAGTATCGAATAATGTACTTATAGTATTTGATCTTTGCAGCCTCTTCGAATTTTCATTCAATTTCGTTTTCAGAGATTGGGAAGTAAAAAGAACATTTTGTTTCGGCGCTACGTCGAAAAGCATCTCCCGCGGTTCTTTATTAATATGCATTGGCTCCTGGAATAAATGCAGTCGACTGTTATTATTTGTGACAGCGTTGTTGCATCTTCGCAATATAGCGGGCATGTGTTTTAAATTCTTCATTTTATATTGCTGTAGCATTTTTGAATTTTGTTTTTCCGAGTACTTGTTTGATTCACTGTTTAAGGGTTGTATCTGCTGTCCATGCCGATTCTTGTGTTTTAACATATGTTTCATATCAGTAGGTTCATTTTGAAAATCTGTTTCTCTTGATACGAATAGAAAAGGGTTTTCTTCTTTCATTCTTCCAATTTCATTTGTTTCGAAATGTTTGATAATGCTGTTGTTGCTGTATACAGAAGGTGTAGAATAGTTTACTTCTAAAGAAGTATGGGTATTTACTTCTGTTGAATCGTCCTCACTCGTTATGTTTCTTGCTGCATCGGTAATTTCCGACTCAAGAATGTTCTTTTTTTTGGCATTAGAAGTGTTCAGTAAAGATAAGTCAAATAAAAAATTGGAAGTGTCAATTCCATATTTTTTACAATTCAAGTTAAAATTTGTTTCCGGTATTAAAAGTGAATTTTGTCTTCCTTTCAAATCGTCGTCCTTTCTGTTGCTTTTATGATCAAAATGTCGGTTTGGATTATGAAGAGTCACAGACGTAAGATCCGTATCTTGAGTATATTTAGGAGGGCAATATTCGGTGTTTGGAAGATGATTTTCAACTGAAGTACTTGGCGTATCGCATTCATTCAGAATATTACCACGCTTAATCATGTCCCGTAAAAATTGACTCCGAAATGATTCAGCATAGATGCTTCTTAATTTTTTTTTTACAGTTGTCAGCGGATCTAATGTGAAATAAAATAAAATGAAAACAAAATAATCATGTAAATATAGAAATTGTGAGATAAGTTACCTGTTGTAAAACAGTTTGGAAAATTTTGCCCCTCGAAATTTTCGGAACAAATAATCCTACATAGTTCTTCATATTTACTTAACGCCGAGTTGCGTAAATTTTCAGAATCAATTGTTTTCTTTTTCTCTAGTAGTTTTTGAGGGAACTTGATGCATTCGGGTTTCAGATGTTTTAAGCGTTCTTCCTTTTCGCACCTTTTCTTTCTACAAATATATATATACATTGTAATTATAATTCAATTATCGTTCGTATTAAGTTTGTGAATATCTTTTAGATCGAATTTCAATAACTTTTTTTTAAACTTACATCTTACGCTGTTATATCTTTTGAAAGAATTCAATGAAAATTACCTGAGACTTACCCATCCACTTTACCCAAAACTGGACTTATGTATAGATGATCAGAAGATGGTTGGACATTTTTAATAGTAGTATCGAATAGAATCGAGTCATTTAAAATCTCATTTTTATCATTTTTAATGACGATGGCTCTGTGAAATAAAGGAACATATTTTAGTGTGAGTAAATTTTTATAATGTTTTTACTTACTCTGATTTCGAATCATATCCATCTAAAAGTTTAAGCACATTACTTTGTAGGCGAGCGTTATTTAAATCGTTTAAGGGTAATTTCTTTTGAGCTATAAATAATTATATCGTTTAATTAATTATTTCTAAAAACAAAAAATTCAGTTACTCTTTATGTGACGTACATCTTCGTATTTCTTTGCCTGCTGCACCATTTCTATATATACCGGCTAACTAAAATAATAAATATAATTTAACATGACCATATTAATTTTTTCCTATTTCATATTTTAATTTACGGTACTTACAGGTCTCGGAAGGATTCTATTCGGCGCCTTTTTTGAAGTTCGCGCCTTACCTAATTTCCCATCGATCTTCGTTTCATTATCCTGAAAGAGATTATTATGAGATAATGGACATAAGAATACGTAAAAGTAAATTAATTTTTTGATACATATTCATCTCGTATGTCTGCAAAACGTTGCAAAAGTTTAACGAAACTACTCTGCCAAAATTTGCATGTCACTCGATTCTGCTGAAAAATTGCGCGTACAATATCACGATTTAACAAATTATTATTTGTAAAAATCATTTCTAATAAAATTAAAAATTTTATAATAAATAAATTCTATATATCCAACATACAATAATTCTATAAATTTGCTTGAATTATAAAAAAATAGGAATAAAGGATTTTATTTATTAAACACATAATTCTATAAAATTGCTTGAAGAATTACGAAAGAACGAAAATACAAAATTCTATTTATTAAACATACAATGAAAATGATAATTATTAAAATGTAAATTAAATAAAGAAATTAAATATTAAATTATACAAGTTTCTACATTTTTTACGCTCTAGTCAATACAGAACTAGAAAGAATGAAGTTACTCTGTACTTTATTTATTTTTTACTGTTTATTCTATTCGATATATCGATGTATGTACTTCAGGAGATACGTACACGTATAAATAGCCATAGCTTAAAATCTACCTTCTATTCGATTTTATGACAAAGTGTTAATGGAAATATATTTATTTCTACATGTATTAAATATTATTTCTAGAGTATTTACGAACATTTGTTCTTAAATTCTTGTTCATTGCTTAATATTTATTGCAGAAAATATAGAAATATAGAAGTACCTTACAAAACTTTCAATGACACGTGTCAATCACACAACATAACCAAATTCGTCGTAGAACGTTAAATATGTTCGTATATCAAATTTAATACCATACACTATTCCATTTAGTTTGTAAACGAAAATAAGTCGAATTTTCAATAGGATATATGTGGTATCTACTGTTACAACTTGATAATAATGATCACAGACACGCATATTGATACCTTCTTCGATTTGAATAATCTTCGATGTAGATCTGTCAGATCCCTTTTACGTTTCTTCTTCTTTGTTCGGGTTTTCTGTTCTTTCCGGACAGTTTTTCTTTGTTCATCGATAGACGTGTCACTGGCCACATCACGTGTTACTTTTCCCATTTTAGAATAAGAAAGAAAGCGAATTGCGTTTCGAACGAACGAGATCGACGAACATCTCAATGTTTGTTTATATTTCGTTACCTCGCTTCTTATGATGCCCAAGTATCACTTGTAATGACAATATCGACATACTTTGACTCGGTCTACAGATGATAATGCTATTCTACGATTGACCGAGCGATGTGTAATGTTATCGACTCGGCTAAACATTTCCTATGTATTTCTCTCTGCTTAATTATGTTAATGTAGGTTGGTTATAAGCGGTAGTTATCAGGAATAGGTATTTTATGGTTGGTAACATTGTTGAAAAATATAACGAAATAAATTTGAAATTAATACAAAAAGAAATTTAATATTGAAAAATATAGGACATTTATGTTTAGTCTATGGGTCAGTTTAGACAAGTTTGGATGAACAGGATTAATAAAAAGCATTAGATAAACAAATGAATAGTGAATAGATACAAAAAGTCGAAAGAAAACATTGACCGGGTATTCAGTTTTTTGTTGATACGTGTACTACGCACACGTGTTAATCGACGTATGATATGACGTATAAATTGGACTATTGCGAACAAATAGTGATTTTATAAAATTATTTACATAAAGTTAGTTTGTAAATATATATTTTATTTTACGCTTGTAAAACATTAAAAAAGATTTTTGATTCTAAATTTGCTTATCGTAATATATACGCATACAAATATATCGAAATGTTATACATCGAAATACTACTGATGTCAAATGATATCATATAGGACAATTTCTTTTCCTACTAATAAATTTCAATTATTATAATAAGGCGTAATGTTAGCTTAAATGTTATTGGATACGTAAATAAAACGTTTTTTCCAAGATAAAATATGTTGGAAAGAATTATTTTTATATTTATTTAAATACTCGATTGAACATTTTAGTGAACGCCATATTAGTTCCGTTCGAGTTGAATTCGGAAGTGTACGCGTTATGAAACCGTGTGCTATTTTTTTTTTAATTGCTGATTTTATGTGCGCTGTTATAATTAGTAGTCTCTGTAGTGCAAGTACTAATGTGTTTCAAGGTTTTGGTGATGACAAATTGGTGTATTAGCAACTTATTCGTCAAAGATCCGCATTAAAAAATCAGGGGGTAAGCGGCTTCCATTTCGAATACTGCGTCACATACCACGTATACGTAATTTTAAAAAATTATATTTCTCCACTTATCGTTAAATTTCAATTAAATGAATTTTTTTTATATTGCACATTTCTATAATGTGTATGTATATATAGATATATAGATATACATATATATATACACACACATGCATATCCATACACACACACACACACACACACACATGTATATATTGATTGCTCCAATTATATGTGTGCGTGAGTGTATGTGTATGCTTAGTTGTATGTAGTTCAGTAAAAAACATAGAAAGCCTAAAACGAATTATATTTTAGCTTAAAAAAACTATCATGTAACGGTATCATAATGTAATCATCGCGTGTGTTTTTTTACATACAAGTTGCCTAATGGAAACAACTTCATTCAACATACAATTTTTTGACTCATTAGTTTTGCCTAATTTCATTCTCGTTTAAACAGCACTGATGGTAACTTTGTAGTATATAATATTAACAAATGATATTTGAACTATATCATAAACTTTATCATAAACTATATGTACCATCGAATCGGTTAAAATTGAATAAACCTTTTTATAGAAAACTATATTATCGGCGAGGGATAATATTATCATATTAAGATAAAGTTGTAAAGTTACTTATCTTACGCTTTGAGAGATTTAGAACTTTAATGTCACTTCCGATGTTATCGATTCAGCACAGATTGAGATTATAACGTTAGCAGTGGTTGGAATTACAATTAAATTCAGCTATGAAATTATGAATAATATATAGGATACCTTTATAACCGTAAATGAAATATAGAATTTTATACTTTTGCAATATTAGTTCATCATTAATTTATTTATCTAACTAGTTAATTGGGACGGTAATTCAATATGAAAACGGTTGTATCTATAATTTCATTTGTCAAATTTGATTCATCTCAATTATAGAAACAAATTTTTATTTTCGAATCTGTTACTTCTTTGTCTATAATATCATTTGAGATTCCTAGTAAGAAAATCGGTTGAAACACGAGTGTCACGAGTGAGAGTCATGGTTCGTAGATATAATCTAACGTAAACACGACGGGTCAGGCTCTTGGTTAATTTTCGTCAATGTTTTCCTGTCGACACAAGTTTCAACGCGTTAGTTACGTGTTATTGTTCGCCGCGTTCGGATGAAGTGAATCGGTGCGTGACCGACGTTGCTGTTGACCATGCCGCACGTCATCGTAACTCAAATGGTAAGCCAAGGGGTTATTTACACGAACAGGATATTCTTCATTTACTCTCCGCCAATATTCGTCAACTTGAATCTGTGAATTTGTGAACAAATCTTCTTCAATTATTTATAAACCATCGATACAAATATATGTTTTATATGTAAATTTTATATTAGAAACAAATCAACTTTCGATTTCCTAACCTGCACTGTAGGTAAACGGTATCAGTCGGTAAGTGCACTCTTACCTGCAATCGATTGCACAGTGTTTGAACTTATCCCTGATAGGTGGTGCACATTGCATTCTTTATGCAATCCATACGTTTTCCATTCTACAGAAATCTAATCTTTTTGATTGCATTCAAAGTTGCACGAAAATGTAATACAGTTCAAAATACAAACTTAGAAGCCACAGTTACGACCGAAGAAAAAAAATACTACCTTCTGGAATATATTTCACTAGATTGCTCGCAATAAATTCCAAACTTAAAAAAAAAATTTCATTATTAGATTTCTTTCTTTGTCCAATCGTTAACGAAATTATTTTCTCAATTAATCGGCAAACCTTTCAGCGGAAAATGACTACGGGTTCTATTGGTCATTTCTAGTTCGTGCTGCGCAACTGTTTGTCATGGTCCATCGTATATTTTAAGTCTCACTTTATCGCCTGGCCTCGTAATTACGGTGGAAGTTTACGAGGCCTGTGAGCCAGTCTTAAATCGAAACTTGAATTACACCGCGAAATAACCGTCTTCGATGAAGCCGCAACATTTATTTTTTTTTTTATTTAAATTCCTTTTTTTCTACTCTATGTCAAATAATTTTTCGAATACAATGTGCCTATTTTTACGTCCACAGTGTAGCTTATTTTCCAATTACTTTATAGTCTGTTAAACTTGCATTTAAAATTCGATAATAATTCGTTCATTTTCATTTCACAGCTTGCCATTTCCTGGCAAGGCCTGCAGTTTGAGGGGACAAAAAGGAACCTGGCTGACTATTCATCTTTCGGTGAGTCAAATATTTATGTTACATTGTTGACAAGGCTTTTATTCAGCATTGTTAAATTAAACAATAGGAACTGTAGGACTAATATCGGTGAATATTGGCAATGAAATTTTATTCGTTATTCGATTATAATTTCAATTAAATTTATTTTTCTATTCGAAATTAATGAAAAATTATTATTTGGTTATAATTGGAAGTTAGAATATAATTTTAATATTATATTCTAATATGATAAAAATGATGTAAATGGAAGTTGAAATAATACATTCAAATTTTTCTAATGTAAAATGCATCTCTTTGAATTTTATTTATTTTATAGTTATTCTGTTATTTACTTTTTTAATTTCTGGATTATGGATCCTAATTTTTTAATTTTGTTTATTTTTATATTCTATTTCCTGCCATTTTTATCATATATACCATATATCACAATTATTGAAAGGGGTGATATTTCAATTAAATTAAAATTGAATTAGTATAAAGAAAAATTTTATTATATCCCCTTTAATTGAAAATTTCGAATAACGAATAAAGTATTTGTATTATTATAGAGATATTTATATATTATATAGAGTTATTTGTTATTTCAAAGAGTTTTTATTTAGTATTGTTCTTAGGTATAATTAAATGATCATTACCATTAAACAATTTTCCAGAAATTATAAATCCTATTTCTGGTAAAAGGATTTATAGTATCTTTTTTTATTTTTACATCTCCATACATTTTATGTTTATATTATAGCACTATACATGTAAAAGATTGCAGTAAAATTAGATAAGTTGATATTATTGCGTTCAGTTGATATTTTATTTTCAATGGTAGTATAACAAATTAATCGTTTCCACTTAAAATTTGAAATTTCCAATCGAAGTATTTCCTCAAACGAGACTTCATTTTCTCAATAATTATTTCGAAAATTCACAATTGTTTTGAAACAAATTATTTTCCATTATTCGTGTCTTTTACTAAATTAAAAATTTTCATTTTCGACTGTAACATCTCAAAAAAAAGGAAAAGTCGGACTTCATTTTTCAAACAATTACCTCGCAAGTTCATGTATTTCTTAAAACAAATTACTTTCCATTATTCGTGCTTTTTAGTAGATTAAAAATTTTCATTTTCGACTGTAACATTTTCTAAAGAAGGAAAGATCGGTCTTCATTTTCCCAATAATTATTTCTAAAATTTACATTTGTTTTCAAACAAATTACTATCCATTATTCGTGTTTTTCAGAGAATTAAAATTTTTCATTTCTAACTGTAACATTTTTTTAAGAATTTTCCAAATAATTACCTCGAAAATTCACATGTTTCTGGAAACAAATTATTTTCTGTTATTCGTGCTTTTTCAGTGAATTAAAAATTTTCATTTTCAACTGTAACATTTACTTAGAAAGAAAAGGAAAGATCGGACTTCATTTTCCCTATAATTACCTCGAAAATTTGCATGTTTGTTAAAACAAATTGTTCTTCATTTTTCGTGCTTTTTGTCAAATAGAACATTTCCATCCTCAAGAATAAGATTATCCGAAAGAAACGGAAGAAAGATAAATCATTTTAATCATAGAGCGATTAGAAAGCACAGCTAACCAAGTGTTGGGCCGATTTCTACGAACAATCACGAAAGTATGGAACAATGGCCCATAAAAATCA